TGAAGAAAGCAACATGAAAAAAACAATCCCGTTCACAATTATGCCCCAGAAAATCAAGTACCTAGGAATCAGCTTAACTAAGGAAGTAAAGGACCTGTACAAAGAAAACTACAAAACGCTACTTCAGGAAATAATAGAGGACATGAGGAAATGGAAAGATATCCCCTGCTCATGGGTCGGGAGACTTAACATTGTCAAAATGGCAATACTACCGAAAGCATTGTATAAATTCAATGCAATCCCTATAAGGATACCCATGACATTCTTCAAAGAAATGGAGCAAACACTCCTGAAATTTATATGGAACAATAAGCCCCCACGAATAGCTAAAGCAATTCTTGGGAAAAAGAAAATGGGAGGAATCAACCTCCCGAACTTCAAACTGTACTTCAAAGCAGTAATAATTAAAACAGCATGGTACTGGAACAAAGGCAGAACTGCAGACCAATGGAACAGGGTTGAATACACTGACATCTCCCCTCAATCATATGCTCATCTAATCTTTGATAAAGGTGCAAGAAATGTGAAGTGGAGTAAGGAAAGCCTCTTTAATAAATTGTGTTGGCATCGCTGGACGGCTACATGCAAAAAAATAGGCTCAGAACTCTGCCTAACACCATGTACAAAAGTAAGATCAAAATGGATTAAAGACCTCAACATCAGACCAGAAACCATAAGGTACATTGAAGATAAAGTTGGCAAAACCCTCCATGACATTGAAGCTAATGGTATCTTCAAAGATGCCACGCAACTGGCCGAGCAAGTGAAAACAGAGATAGATAAATGGGACTATCTTAAACTAAGAAGCTTCTGCACCTCCAAAGAAACAGTGACCAAAATACAAAGACAGTCTACAGAATGGGAAAGGATATTCGCCAAATACACATCTGACAAGGGGTTGATATCCAGGATATACAAAATACTGGTTAAACTCCACAAGAAGAAAACATCCAACCCCATCCAAAAATGGGGCAATGAAATGAACAGAAACTTTCTCAAAGAAGAAATCCGAATGGCAAAAAAGCACATGAGAAAATGCTCTACATCATTAATCATCAGGGAGATGCAGATCAAAACCACAATGAGATACCATCTCACACCTCAGAGACTGGCCCACATTCAAAAGAACAAAAGCAACCGATGCTGGCGTGGATGTGGCGAGAAAGGGACACTCCTTCACTGTTGGTGGGAATGTCCACTGGTTCAGCCCTTCTGGAAAACAGTATGGACTATTCTCAAAAAATTAGAAATTGAGCTCCCATTTGACCCAGCAATACCACTCCTGGGAATATATCCCAGAGAGGCAAAAATGTATAGTCGAAGTGACATCTGCACTTGTTTGTTCATTGCAGCACTCTTTACAATAGCCAGAAACTGGAAGAAACCTGAATGCCCAAGAACAGATGACTGGTTAAAGAAACTTTGGTACATCTACACAATGGAGTACTATGTAGCTCTTAGAAAAGATGAAGTCATGAAATTTACATACAAGTGGTACAATATGGAAAGTATCATGCTAAGCGAAATGAGTCAGAAAGAGAGGGATAGACATAGAAAGATTGCATTCATCTGGGGGATATAAAGTAACAAAGTATGAGATTAATACCCAAGAATAGCTGAGATCAGCACCAGCAGGATTACTCCATAACTTAGAGGCCAGCCGGGTATCCTAGAGGAAAGGGCAGTTCAGACAGAGAAGGAGCACCAAATAAAGGATGTTTGGAGGATCCTCCCAGGAGGGGAGATGCATGTCGAAAGTAGACTATGGACTGACCATGTTTGCCACTCAATGCCTCTTTTGCAGACCACAACACCCAAAAGGAGAGAGAGAACACAGGGGATTGCCCTGCCACAGAGACGGGGGGATGGGGGCATGGGGGTGGGAGGGATATTATCCATGGTGGTGGAAAATGGGCACTGGTGGAGGGATGGGTATCTGATCATTGTATAATTGAAACCAAAGCACAAAAAATTGTAAATCTACAACTGTAAAAAAAAATAAAATAAAATAAAGGGAAAAAAAAGAAACTTTGGTGCATCTACACAATGGAATACTATGCAGCTGTCAGGAGAGATGAAGTCATGAACTTTGCTTATAAATGGATAGACATGGAGAGTATCATTCATTCATTCATTCATTCATTCATCATCCTGTTATTCGTCGATTGCCTCGAGCAGGCCCCAGTAACGTCTCTTTCATCCTAGCCCTGAGATTATATTCAAGGCTCTTTAGGAGAATGAGACCCATCATTGTTACTGGTATTTGGCATATTTGTTACGCCACGGGGAGTTTGCCAGACTCTGCCCTGTGGGCAGGCTACATTCGATAGAGAGTATCATGCTAAGTGAAATGAGCCAGAAAGAGAGGGACAGACATAGAAGGACTGCACTCATTTGTGGAGTATAAAACAACATAACATGAGGCTTATACTTAGGGATAGTAGATACATGGGACAGGAAGATTGCTCCACAGCTGGAAGCCTGCCTCATGAGTAAAGGGGAGAAGGTAGCTGGAATAGAGAAGGGATCACTAAGAAAAAGAAAAAGATGGCTGGAGGAATTGATTGGGATGGGAGATGTGTGCAGAAAATAGATAAAGGACAAAATATAATAACCTCTGAGGGTCTGTATTGCAAACCATAATGCCCAAAAGTAGAAAGAGATTATGGGGAATCATTTCTGCCATGGAGGCGGGTGGGGCGGGGTGGGAAAGTGGTGATATACAGGGGATATTGGTGGTGGGGAATGTGCACTGGTGGAGGGATGGGTGTTTGATCATTGTGTGATTGTAACTCAAACATGAAATCTTGTAATTATCTCACGGTGATTCAATAAAATTTAAAAAAAAATAGGTCCATTTAAAATACAGCTGGAAATACAATTAAGTTTTCCTATATCATAGCTCCATCTACTGGTGAATATTGTTCATCACATAGTTTTATAATAAAAGAAATGAAGATTCTGAATCTCCAGGTGTTTTTTGTTTACTTTGTTTTTCTTTTTTCCCAATTTTCTATACATGCTGACTATAAGAAATAAAATGGAAAAATATTTCGCCTGGATTTTGCAAATGATTTAGACAACATAAATCATAGCCTTAAAATAAGTTATTCTGTATTTTAGTCAAAATCTAGCTTGTTTACAAAAGCACTAATTTTTAAAAAGATTAAAATTTATAAATCTCTAATTGTCTCTTTGGGTACAAAGATGGCACAAAATATTTTCAGTTTGACACAAATCAAATTAATGTTAACTTTGCATTATTTACTTTATAACTAAAGCTTTATTCTATTGCAGGCAGGTGGGTGTGTGTGTACTGGTAATGATTATTTTCAGGAAATAATAAAACAAGAATAAATTCCGTAGTCCTTCCTTTGCCTTGAAGCTTCCCTGAAGCAGGAAAGCAGGACTTCTTTGAGATGAAAATACTGAGCTCTTTGGGGATGGCGAAACTGAGGCACCACCAAGAGAAGGGTGGTCCCACCCCTCTCAGAAAAGGAGGAGCTTCAAGAGAAAGTAAGAGTCACAGTACGGATATTAAAAAAGACCAGCAAGAGTCCACAGGTCTTGACACTGACAGAGCCCTAGTCTACACAGAGAGACTCGATAGGAAAGCCCAACGTGAAACTCAATCTGTGAAGGCAAGCGGTGGGTGCCATCCTCCATCTCAGGAGCCACCTCCCCTCAGCTTATCATGTGTGGTTTTCTATATTCTTTCTTTCACCCTTCTTCTGCCTCCCTCTCCCCATTTCTCAAAAAAAAAATTTTAATTCACTATTGGTCTCCTGAAATTTTTTTCTGCAAGGAATTTCCTGGGAAACCTGGTTGGGACTGAATTTTCTTTTCATATTTAAAGGGCAATTCCTCTCTCCAGCCCAATGGCGTTGGTTGCTGGGGACCAATCCTGCACTCTGCAGAACTATGTGGACTTCGGGCATGGCTGCCAGTTGCTCCAGGGGCAGGCGGGTTGCTAGTGTACTTGCCAAGGAGATGGAGCTTGTGGCCAGCTTTAACCACCCTAATCCAGCCCTCCTAGGTATGTCCCTAGGAGTGGGGTGTGTGTGTTGGGAGAGGGGGATAGTATTCTTTTCTAAGGGTTACCACCTTTGCTCCCCGCTTGACCCAATTCACCTGCATCACTCAGTAAGATAGCAAGAACTAGGTAACCTGCCCTCAGGGATACCTACTTCTTTTTGTGGAAGCCAGTTTCCCCACTTATGACACTTCTATGACTCAAAGTAAACAATATATTTGGGGAAACTTTTCTAGGAACCTGTTGTATATTCTGTGATGATTCTGCCTCAGTTTTGGTATGATTTAATTTAGAATAAGATATGATATCAAGAAGACCAATGTGAAGAGTATAACTCTGTATAAGATTATGGAAGTATTTGAATATGGTTAGTCTTAAGTGTTGTAGCGATAACACAGCGGGTAGGGCATTTGCCTTGCATGCAGCCAACCCAGTCGATCAGGGTTCGATTCCTCTGCCCCCTCGGAGAGCTCGACAAGCTACCAAGAGTATCTCGCTCCACAGCAAAACCTGGCAAGCTACCCGTGACATGTTGGATATTCCAAACACAGTAACAACAAGTCTCACAATGGAGACGTTATTGGGCCCCGCTTGAGCAAATCAATGAACAATGGGAGGACAGTGCTACAGTGCTACAGTCTTAAGAGATAATTGGGAAGACTACAAAACCTCATATATTATTTCTATGCTTTTTTCTAGTGAATTTACTATTTTAAACAATTTCAAAAAATGAATGAATTTGGCAATGGGCATTCAATGTCTTTAAAAGCTCAAAGAAAATAATAATTATATAGTAAAAAGGATAATTTTGTTGAATTTTAAAAGAAGAATACGCTGCTTTAGATTTTCTGCAAAAAAAGACTTTTCAGTATTTTTCTTGGAAAAGTTATGGCATTTTTATGTTCTTGAGAATTAAGTTCAACAATTTTATCATGAAAATATATATTGTAGCAAATTATCAACTAACCTCTGCCCACTCAGTAGAACCAAGAAGACCAAATTCTTCTGCATCCCAACTTGCAAACAAAATTGTTCTTCTAGGTCTCCAACCTAAAATATATTTATACACATATAAAATCTATATAATTAATGTCAAGAATTTATAAACACAAATGTCAAGATAAGCCCAACAAGACACAAAACAAAACTGACCAAAAATGTAAACAACAGTGATTTGGAAGTGAACGATGGTAAAATATTTACTCATACAATTTCTTCATAAGGATTTTAAAGGTAGTTTCTTAAATATTAAACAGTATTTTTTTTTGAAAAGAGGAAAAGGGCCAGAGAAACATTACATGAGTTAAGGCACTTACCTTGCATGTGAATAACCCCAGTTTGACCACCAGGAGGGAGGGAGGGTGGGAAGGAAGAAAGGAAGATGTAGACATAGTAAAAAACTTGTGAGTAATCTTTTATTGGGTTTATAATGAATGCTATTCATAGAAGACACCACGGGTTTACAGCTGTCAAGTAGAAAAAATACATATACATATGGTCAATAGGCACATGAAAAATGCTCATTATAGGAAATACAAATCAAAATGACGGTAAGAAATCACATCACACCAGTACAAACAGTCTACACTCAAAAGGACAAAATTAACAAGTGTTTGTAGAAGTGTGGATAAAAAACAAGTTCTTATTTACTGTTGGTGGAAATTTAAATTGGTTCAGCCTTTATGGAAAATAGGATGGAGATTTCTCAACATATAAAAAAATAGATTTAACTATAACCCAGATATCTCATTTCACAGTGAAACACAAAAATCAAACAAATGTAACACCTGGAAAGGCAAATTCAAACTCAAGTTCACTGCAGTTATATTTTCAACAACCAAGATCTGATCTGGAAATAATCCAAGTGCCCAAAGATGTCATATTATATATGACATATATACATATATACATATTCATACACACACATGTAGATATGTGGAGAAAATAGGAGTTCCTATTTACTGTTGGTGGAAATGCAAATATATGCATGTGTTATATGTATATATATATGACACACATATACCGCAATGAAATTCTACTTGGTGATAAAAAATGAAATCTAACCTTTGACCACATAGAGCAAACAGAATTAGGTAATGGTAAACAAAGTTAGCCAGAAGGAAAAAGATGAGTGTGGGATGATCTTACTCATACTCAGATGTACAGAACGCAAAGCAAGGAAACAGACAAAACCAGGAAAACTCTTCTTTGTTTATTTTTGAACTATACTGAGAAGTGTTCATGATCTGTTCAGTTCTCAGGGGTCCCAGGAGCATGTGATACAAGGAATTTACCCAGGCCTTTCGCCTGCAGAGCTAGCCCACAGATGGGCTCTGGAAAGAAGCTGCTGGGTGGGTCTGCAGAGCAGATGTACTAGGGGAGCAGGGAGGAGTGGTCAAGGAGAGCAGGAGTCCAGTAGACTGTCAGGATGGGAAATTAGTAGTTCGGTATGGCTGTTATGTGGTAACATATATTTTGAAGAGGTATGAAATTGTATCCCCCAAACATGCAGTTGTACAATTTATTTTTAAGCACATTACTTCAAAAATGTGCTGTTAGAGAAAATAAAACTGGGAGAAAATCCTTCTGACCCCTTTGTGCTGTCTTAGAATCACATGGTCAATTGTATAATGTTAGTAGGTTGTACAATTTCACTCCATTCTCTGCCAGAAATAGTCATCTGAGGCTCAGTTAGCTACAGTAAAGTCTTGTGCTATTAAAAGCTACACAGTTAGGCTGAAAAGTCGTCCAGCTTGAAGCTAGAGAGTTAATGAGATCCAATTTTAGCCCCCACTTCTTTCACTTGCTCTAAGCATAATGGTGGAAAAGCTATGTACTCAAATTAAACCTCAATGTTTGCATCTGAGGGCAGGAAAAAAAACAGTGAAGATAAAGACTCCATCCTGGTTGTTGACATGACTAAAATGATGCCTATTGTTGGAATGATTAAATAGAATGCTTATAAATGAGACATTCTAGCAAAGTGCACCCAAACTAAAAGTCATCACAATTTTAGTAAATACTTCATCACTGCCTAAGGTTGTGTAGTCTTTTAGCTGTTGAATTCAGTACTCAGTCTTTGTCAAATTTCTTAAAGTCGTTAAAATTCTTTTCTCTTTTGGTTTTTGATGCTCCTAGCTCTACACTCAAGAATCACTCCTGAGAGCTCAGAAAGAGAAGGGAACACCAAAAAAAGGGTGTTGGGAGGATCCTCCCAGGATGGGAGAAGCATGCTGAAAGTAGACTATCGACCAAACATGATTGTCACTCAATGCCTCTTTTGCAAACCACAGCAACCCAAAGGAGAGAGAGGGAAATGCCCTGCCACAGAGGCAGGGTGGGGTGGGGGCTGGGGGGTGGGAGGGATACTGGGATCCGTGGTGGTGGGAAATGCGCACTGGTGGAGGGATGGGTGTTTGATCATTGTATAATTGAAACCCAAGCACAAAAATGTGTAAGTCTGCAACTGTACCTCATGATGTCTCACTATTAAAAAAATACAAATAAGGATAAAATAAAAAAAAAGAATCACTCCTGAGGGCCTTGGGGAACCATAAGGAATGCTGGGGATCAAACTCAGGTTTGCATGGCAAGTGTCTTATCTGCTGTACTCTCTCTCTCTCCATCCTCTATTATTAAAATATTCATTAACTAGTCCTCATTATATTCTTTTTTTGCATTTTCTATGATTATCAATAAGATTTTGTACTTCTCACAGGGAATCTTCTTGCAAAACCATTAAAAATTTTAGAATAATATTTTACATTGCTTCACTTATGAACTATGCAAACAAATTTAAGTGTCTACAGTACTTTTGAAATGTATTTTTTTTTGTTTTTGAGGCAGAGCCGGCTGTGCTCAGGGCTTATTCCTGGCAGTGCATTCAGGATCTCTCCTGGTGAGGCTCATATGGTGTTGCCAGAGATCAAACTCAGCTCAGTTGCATGCAAGGCAGGGTTCTCTTTCATTTTAATTTTTATTGGTTTTTAATACCATGAAATTTCAAAGGTTTAGCTTCATACCTCTATTTGTGTTTAGTTCTGTCTTCCTAAAGTACAAGATACCCTAAAGCATTAATAGCTATGTAGAAAAAGTAATAAAATATATGTATATTTTATTTTAGAGAGTGATCATGCTTTGGGGAACAGAAATTAGAGGTCCATCTTTGGTTATTCAGATCCTGCAGATCCAGTGAGTTTTTCCAAGCATTCAAAGAGAAACGACTATTCATCTTTATCATGCTCCTCCAGGAAGCAAAGTGGTAATCCTCCTGAACAGTTTTGATGAGGCCCAGACTGCCTGATACTAAAGCTGACAAAGATATTAGGTCAATATCCTTAGTGAACATGGATGCAAAGATCCTCAATCAAAGCTTTGCACACCGAATACAAATGAAGATTAAATACATTATATATTAGGTGAGATTCATTCCAGGGATGCAAGGAAGTTTTAACAGGCTACAAACTCAAAGCACATAAACCTACTATGTATTCTAATATGTAAAGAATGATGTAGAAGAGAAATTTTAAAAAGAAACTATCCCATTTACAGTTATGTCAAAAAACTCAAATATCTAGGAATAAATTTAACAAAGGAAGTTAAAGACCTATTTAATAGAAATTATAAATTACTCCTGAAAGAGATTAAAGAAAAGGCAAAAAATGGAAACAATCTTTTATATAACGGACTGAAGAATTAACATTTCTAAAATGACCCATCTAGGGTCGGTAGACTTAACATTGTCAAAATGGCAATACTACCGAAAGCATTGTAAAAATTCAATGCAATCCCTATAAAGATACCCATGACATTCTTCAAACAAATGGAGAAAACACTCCTGAAATTTATATGGAACAATAAGCCTCCACGAATAGCTAAAGCAATTCTTGGGAAAAAGAAAATGGGAGGAATCAACCTCCCAAACTTCAAACTGTACTACAAAACAGTAATAATTAAAACAGCATGGTACTGGAACAAAGGCAGAACTGCAGACCAATGGAACAGGGTTGAATATACTGACATCTCCCCTCAATCATATGATCATCTAATCTTTGATAAAGGGTGCAAGTAATGTGAAGTGGAACAAGGAAAGCCTCTTTAACAAATTGTGCTGGCATCACTGGACGGCTACATGCAAAAAATGGGCTCAGAACTCTGCCTAACACCATGTACAAAAGTAAGATCAATAGATTAAAGACCTCAACATCAGACCAGAAACCATAAGGTACATTGAAGACAAAGTTGGCAAAACCCTCCATGACATTGAAGCTAATGGTATCTTCAAAGATGCCATGCCACTGGCCGAGCAAGTGAAAACAGAGATAGATAAATGGGACTATCTTAAACTAAGAAGCTTCTGCACCTCCAAAGAAACAGTGACCAAAATACAAAGACAGCCTACAGAATGGGAAAGGATATTCGCCAAATACACATCTGACAAGGGGTTGATATCCAGGATATACAAAATACTGGTTAAACTCCACAAGAAGAAAACATCCAACCCCATCCAAAAATGGGGCAATGAAATGAACAGAAACTTTCTCAAAGAAGAAATCCGAATGGCAAAAAAGCACATGAGAAAATGCTCTACATCATTAATCATCAGGGAGATGCAGATCAAAACCACAATGAGATACCATCTCACACCTCAGAGACTGGCCCACATCCAAAAGAACAAAAGCAACGGATGCTGGCGCAGATGTGGCGAGAAAGGGACACTCCTTCACTGTTGGTGGGAATGTCGACTGGTTCAGCCCTTCTGGAAAACAGTATGGACGATTCTCAAAAAATTAGAAATTGAGCTCCCATTTGACCCAGCAATACCACTCCTGGGAATATATCCCAGAGAGGCAAAAATGTATAGTCGAAGTGACATCTGCACTTGTTTGTTCATTGCAGCACTCTTTACAATAGCCAGTAACTGGAAGAAACCTGAATGCCCAAGAACAGATGACTGGTTAAAGAAACTTTGGTACATCTACACAATGGAATACTATGTAGCTCTTAGAAAGAATGAGGTCATGAAATTTACATACAAGTGGTACAACATG